AATAGCCACATATGGATAGTGACGATAATGTTAGATAGCACAGACCTACATAAATTTATATTTGAAAGAAAAAGAATAATAGGAAATAGGAAAATACTTTATCAGGTCATCAAGGAAACACAGGTGGGAGACCTTCAGCAAGCTGCAAATTGGTGGGAAAAATTCCTAAATATAACACATTGCTTCTTTTATAAACAAAGCTTCACGGTGTGCTGCAGAATGTGCTTCAACAACTCACTCAGGTTTCATTGGACCTACCTGGAGATATAATAACTGTATAATTCCAATTATGTTTACTTCAATTAGATCACACAGTCATTTTTCTTCATACAATATGTTACCACCATGCAGATCTTCCAATTGTGTAAAGGTCATACAAATTCACCATGGGGGATTGCTTAGCTTCTGTGAATTACTTTTAGGCTATATTTTATAAAATTATTATCTACAAAGTTTTACATAATAGACTTTATGTGTTTTGCACAAAACAGAAACATCCAGCCGGTCTCCTGGAGCAGGATAACAATGGCCCCTTCCCCTCACATCTGCATTACATCTTTGCATATGGTTAGTGAGCCAGAAGAAGTTATTAAGTGTATAAGCTAAAGAAGGAAAGCATGCTTTCCTATGACCCTGGTTAATTATGGCAAACATTTCTTTCCTGAGATAGTGGTTTAAGCAAAATAGATTTCAAAGCAAAATTTATATATTTCAAGATATTTCTCTGGAATGTTTGATATAAAACATGTCCCTTCTTCCAATATTGTGCTCTCCAGGGTATTAAGAGAAAAAGAGAACAAACTTTAAGAAGACATCCTTAACTTACACTGATTATTTCCATGCTCAGTTGGATTTAGTCAAGATCCCTTAAGAGGCATTTATTGGAGCAATTTATTTCACTCAGTCATTCATGTATCTATTTAATATTTATTGAACACTCAGTTACCTAGTAACATTTGGTGGTAAGATAGTTTTAAAAATGTCATCCTACCTCTCCTTGTGCATAGTCTATAGTTTAGAAAGGAGCACATGACAGGTTAAATAATAAGAGATATGCTTAGAGTAGCATGGAAACATATTGGAAAAAAATTAGCCAGAAAATGAGTGAGGCAAACAGAAAAAATATCATAGGGAGCATAATAACTGATATGAGTCATGTGCAAGGGAGAGGGTATCTCAGCATGAGATAACCCCAGAGACAGGTAATATTATGCGTGGGGATGAAGAATTCATTTTCTTGGATATCAAATATTAGATTTCTCTGGATGTCTAGATCATGCTATCTGGTAGAGAACTGTATACAAAATCTGAAATTTATAGAAAAGATTAGGGTCGTTATGCACATTTGGGAATATTTTCTATTTGAAGTTATAAGAGCTATGAGTTCTATCTTGGTTATTGTGCAGAACACAAGGATTAAAGGGAAAAGTATGAGATGTTGAGAGAATCGCAGGATGGAAGTGCATGAGTAGAAAAGAAAAGTCTAGAAAGGCAGCAAGAGAAAAAATGATCTGAGAAGCACAAGGTACCATGAGAAATTGTGTATATCAAGAATTTACATATTTCAAGATATTTTTTTGAAATGTTTGATACGAACCATTTCCCTTCTTCCAATATTGTGCTCTCTATAGTATTAAGAGAAAAACAAAACACACTTTAAGAAGACATCCTTAACTCCAACTGATTATCCCCATGCTCATTTAGATTTATTCAAGATCCCCTAAGAAGTAAAATAAGCATAGCTTCCAAGAGAGTAGTCATTTTAAGGTTATAATCATCAATAGATTCAAATGTGATTAAGAAATATAGTCAAGTAAAGAGCAAAAATCCATCTTTTGTTTGGCAGAAAGTGGAGTCACTATAAACTTGGCCAGATCAGTTTCAGCAAAACGGTGGGGAGAAGGTGTTTATAGCGGATTGAAAAGTAAAAGGGGCTGGGTGCGGTGGCTCACGCCTGTAATCCCAGCACTTTGGGAGTCTGAGGTGGGCGGATAATGAGGTTAAGAGATCGAGACCATTCTGGCCAATACGGCGAAACCCCGTTTCTACTAAAAATACAAAAAACATTATCTGGGCTTGATGGCACGTGCCTGTGGTCCTAGCTACTCAGGAGGCTGAGGCAGAAGAAACGCTTGAACCCAGGAGGCGTAGGTTGCAGTGAGGTGAGATTGTGCCACTGCACTCCAGCCTGGTGACAGAGCAAGACTCCATCTCAAAAAAAAAAAAAAAAAAAAAAAAAAAAAAAAAAAAAAAAAAAAAGTAAAAAGGGAGGTAAGAAGTGAAGGCAGTGAATGAATAAAAATGCTCCTTTGAACATTTCAGATGTAAAATATGTTTCTGAATGCTGGTGTCTGGCACTATGAACATACACAGCCAGTCACACCACTATAAACCAGTTCTAGTGTGATGGTGAATCTTATGGCCAAGTTTCCTTATGCTCATAATTAAAGGATCTGAGCCAAAGAATCATTAAAGCCAAAACCCCAAATATTAATGAAGAGCAAGGAAGCTAATGAATGTAAAGAGTTGGGAAAACTAGAAATTGCCATACAAATGTTAGTGATTATGGTCATTATTACTACAATTTGGTCTTGATAGATTTTAGTCTGTATATCAGCCCAGTTTATAACAGAGTTGAAAAACAAATTGAAATGTCTCCCCCCATGGAGTTTGTAGAGCGGAAACATCAGTAGTTAACTTATGCATTATGCATATAATTTAGACTCAAGAGATCCAATGAATAACTGCAGTGAACTACAATTGCCCTCTTTAGACAGTTCAATGTGAACTTCCTGATAGAAAGAAAGCAGTCCAAAGTCCTATGTAAATGGTGTGATAATAACAGGAGGATTGGCTGCTTGCTTGCTTCTCATTTCAGTTGGGTAATTTGAATAAATTCTTTATACAGATTGTAACTGCTGTCATTTTGATAATACTCCAACTTGAAAATTTGGATGTTGGGTGCAACCCCTTGCCAGCTCCAAACAAATGGAGGTTGGCTAATGAGGGATTTGAAGGGCACTCTTGGCATCATTGGTAGACAGAATATTTCCTTGCTAGGAAGTCTCCAATGTGAGCAAGATTTTCTATTGCTATCACATTCAAAATTAAACAGGGGTTTATAAAACTCCAAAACTGCTGTAGACCCATAAACTGGTGAATGAATTGAAGCATTCCTCTTTCACCCACAGAAACCCCAAGTTCAGTTTAATCATTATTCTTGCCTCCAATTGCTTTGATTTATCTAAGATTAACCGTTCCCTCCTGCCATCCAAGATGCATAATTATCTCTGTAGTCTTTCTCCTTTTGACATAATTCTGTTTTTTCTAAATATTCACTTATTAAGCAAATATCATTGAGCACTTGCTATATGTCTGACCTTACTTAGAGGGATATAATAGTGAACAAGGTGAAATTTCTACTTTCAAGGAATGCATATCTATAATGCAAAATTTTCTTGAAAATATATCTTACAATTCAATGAGATAGGTATTAGAATAAAGACACATGCAGGGGAGTGGTCAATCTTCCAAAGAGTGGAAGGATGAGGCAAAATTAGGAAGTATTTAATCAGAGTCTTAAAGGATTTTGACATATGGACAAAAAGAGGAAGGATATATCTCTTTGATTTGTAAGTTTCTTGATGTCATTGGTTCTACCTTATCCAACTTTGCTTCTCTTAAAGTTACAATGATTTGAATGTGAGAACCCCAAAATATTTAAATTAAATTCAAATACTGCTAAAGTATCCTCTTTTATTCTTTTTCTTAAATATTTGTCTTGAACATGATATGATCTGTATGAATTGTGTTATTTTAATGACATTCGTTTTAAAGGTTCTGGAAACATCATTTTCCCTTCAATCTTTGCACTCCTGATTCTCCTGCCAACCTGCATCATACTTCCCAGTTTCTCTGGTGAGTGGCTTGAATTCTGATTGTTTTTATCTACTTTAAAATTAAATCATATGTAACGTTAATTCTATTTGATCTCTCAAAAGTTACTGCTCCCTTCTGCATATCTCAGATCTCTACAAATCCTAAAATCAAGAATTCTCAAACTGAGATTAACTGGAGTTATCATCCCTCAGATATGATGCTGGCATCTAATATAATGTTGATCTTCTGTTATGTCCTTTTTAGCTCTCAAGATTTATGCATATGTATGTAGTTCCTTTCTCTGCAGCTCCAAAACTGTTACAGGGAATGACTATTTTGATGTCTTAAAGATGAAGAAATGATAGATATGATAATGCCATTTTACAAACTGAGAACTTTGGAATTCTTAGAATTGATGAAGAAAGTACCCAAATGAAGAATATTGTGGGCCAATCAACCTAGCTACTTTTCTGTGACTAAAAAAAGCAAAAACTAAACAAAAGTAAAACAACAGGAGACAATACCAGTGTTATACCCTAAAAATTTACCAACCAAGCGTCAGTATAAGCAGGCTCCAGTACAACACTGCTGACAGAACATGCCATTGGCATTGACAAACTATCTTCTGGAGATAGTTTGTTGTTTCTATGTGTTGTTTCATTTTGTGTGTTCTTAGTTATGACTGCGTATGTTTCATGAAGTCAGTAAAGTTCCCGGTGCTTCAAATTTTTCAAATCAAAAGCCTCTTTGAACATGGAAATAATGTGCATTATTCTTAGTGAACAGTACATCATAGCATTGGTGGCAGAATGGATCACTATTTAGAAAAAAAGCATTTGCTATTTCTCTAGTTGAGATTTTTTGCTTTAGTATAAAACAGCAATCTTTCAATTGTATAATACTGCCCCCACTTTCAGGAACAACGACGAAAGTGGGATATACCCATGTAGAGGGAAAATCATTACGTATTAAATTGTCTTGTTTTTATTAATAGCAGATTGGCACTCACTATTATCAGTCTATCCATTTTCTTCTCTCAAATTTAGAAAATTCACCACCACTCCCCCGCTCCCTCCCCCCAGAAAAACAACCAAAAACCACAATCTATGATAAATACTCACCACTGCTGGAAGCATCATTCAGATTTAGCAGTCCCCCTCCTAGCCCTCTGTAACTATGGTAACTGTAGGTCCCATTTCCATTGATGTACAGCACATCTTGTGAGCCTGGAACAGCTGATGTTGAATAAGTGGCCTGGGTCGCCTCTGGTTTACACTGCTTGTCAGCTGGAGCAGACTCGTCCTGCAAGGACAGACAGCATTCCATTATTTATCCACTCACTGTGCTATTTCACCTTGAACAGGGCTGTCTTATTGTTATCTACATACCTGCATTGAATAGAAAAATATATAGTGAATTGTTAAGTAGGCACATATGCACATTTTCAACATCTTTGCTAAAAACTAAAACAAGGAAAGCAAAATAACAATGTGGGCAGATTGGTGATGGAACAATTGAAAATTTTCAACTGAATAGAAAATGACATGCAGAAAGTTACTCACAATAACCAAGAGGTGGAAGCAACCTAAACATCTATTAACAGATAAATGAATAAAGAAAATATGGTACATACACACAATAGAATACTATACAATATCAAAAAGAAAGAAACCCTGTTGTACTACAGCATGGACAAAATGACATTTCGCTAAGTAAGATAAACCAACCACAAAAAAACAAATATTGCATGATGCCACTTATGAAGTATCAAAAATAGTCAAAGTCATAGAAACATAAAGTGGAATGATGGTTTTCAACATTTGAGGAGGAGCTATTGGGGAGTCATCTATGAGTGTAGCGTTTCCATTATGAAGGGGTGGAGATGGGTGGTCCTGGGCATCTACCACACAACCTTGTGTATGTGGCTGACAGCACTGTACTACACACTTGGGAATTGCTGGAAGGGTAAATTCTAGTTAAAAATTGTTTAAAAGAACGTACTAGGTTTTAAAAATTGCATGAAGATATATTACAATGGAAGATAAACCTTTAATGAATGTTGGGTTCTTGAAACCTGTTTTGCAGCCTTTTTTCTTCCTTTCTCTTCTTCTCTGTCATCTCTCTTTCTCCATGTATGTGTGTGTGTATATCTTTCTATTTATATTATTTTATGTTTATAGCAAAATTTGAGTGCCAGCTCCAAGCTGGCTCCATTACATGTGCTAAAACAGACTGAAAGCTGGTCGTGGTGGGATTTTGGGAGGCCGAGCCAGGTGGATAACAAGTCAGGAGTTCAAGACCATCCTGGCCAAGATGGTAAAACCCCGTCTCTACTAAAAATACAAAAATTAGTCAGGTGTAGTGGCAGATGCCTGTGATCCCAGCTATTCGGGAGGCTGAGGCAGGAGAATTACTTGAAACCAGGAGGTGGAGGTTGCAGTGAGCCGAGATGGCACCACTTCACTCCAGCCTGGGCAACAGAGTGAGAATCTGTCTCAAAAAAAAAAAAAAAAGAAAAAGAAAAAGAAAAACAGACTGAGAAGGACATGAATATATCCAAACCTTTCAACTTTTTATTTTTTTGTTCACTTTTAGGCTATGCTAGTGTTCATAAAATTTTCTTTAATCCTTATAATCATGTTAAGTTGGAAGGAAATAAAACTGCAATAAACTATATATATTTTCAATAGCAACACAGATTGAATCATCCTTCAGCTGTGAGTTTGTGAGACTTAAAATACATACATGTATGAATTCACTTGCCTTCTGCGTTCTTCATCTTTTTTTTACTTTTTGTTAATAGGAAAATATTGTAAACAGATTTCTATCGAATTGTTGGGAGAGTTTTTTGTCACAATCAGAAGCATTTTGCAGCTCTTAAATGTTGAGTATATGTTTAGTGGAACAAGTAACTTTCAAATACACTTTTTTTGTGGCCCCAGAGAGGTAAAAATGAGGAAATATGAAATAAGTTTGCTCTATGGAAACAGTAGTACTGTTCTATTGAGAAATACTGTGACCATTTATATTGTGAAATTATTGCCATGATTATCAGCCTAACACAGTTATGGTTTTGCTCTTGTTCCTCCGATTGAATCAACTCTAACTGATCCATTCAACTCTGACCATTATAGTGAGCTGTACACCTAAGACACATGATCTATAGGCTTTCAAATCTTTTCATTTATAGTAAGACTGTAAAATAAACAGCAAGGTATCTCAAAGTAAACTGAAATAAAAAAAAGAAAAAAAATTGAAAGGAAAATGCAGGTTAATAAAAACTTGAGTGTTGATATAAATTTATTTTCCAAGCATTACTTTTTTAAAAAATCATGCCTCTGAGATATATTTAATACAAACATGAATTGACTGAATTTGAACTAGAATGTCTAATTGTAATTTAAATTCTTGTCATTTAAATAATAGAAATACTAACACCCCATAAGCACAGACAATGAAAGCAAAAATGGACAAACAGGATCACATCAAGTTAAAAAGCTCCCCCACAGCAAAGGATACAATCAACAAAGGGAAGAGACAACCCACGGAATGGGAGAATATGTCTGCAAACTACCCATCTGACCAGGGATTAGTAACCAGAATATATAAGATCAAACAACTCTAGGAAAAATTTCTAATAATCTAATTAAAAATGGGCAAAAGATTTGAATAGACATTTCTGAAAAGAAGACATACAGATGGAACAAGCATATGAAAAGGTGCTCAACATCACTGATGATCAGAGAAATATAAATCAAAACTACAATGAGATATTGTCTCACCCACAGTTAAAATGACTTATATCCAAAAGACAGGCATTAATAAATGCTGATAAGATTGTGGAGAAAAGAGAACTCTTGTACACTCTTGGCGGGAATGTAAATTAGTACAATCACTATGAGGAACAGTTTGGAGGTTCCTCAAAAATCTAAAAATTGTGCCACCATCTGATCCAGCAATCCCACTGCAGGTTATCTATCCAAAAGAAAGAAAATAAATATATCAAAAATATATATATGCATGCCTTTGTTTGTTGCAACACTGTTTACTTACTGCTAAGATTTGGAAGCAACCTGGTTCCATCAATAGATGAAAGAATAAAGAAAATATGGTACATATACACAATGAAGTACTATTCAGACATAAAAAGGAATGAGATCCAGTCATTTGCAACAACGTGGATGAAACTGGAGATAATTATCTTAAGTGATAAGCCAGGCAGAGAAAGACAAACATTGCATGTTCTCACTCATTTGTGGGACCTAAAAATCAAAACAGTTGAACTTATGGGCATAGAGAGTAGAAGGATGGTTACCATAGGCTGGGAAGGGTAGTGGGGGCCTGGTGAGGTGGGAGGTGGGGGCGGTTAATGGGTAAAAACGAAAATAGAAAGAATAAATAAGATCTATCATTTATTTTGATTATAATTATTATTTGATGTGCAACAGGGTGACTATTGTCAATAATAACTTAGATGTATACTTTAAAATAACTAAAAGAGTGTATCTGAATTGTTTGTGACTCAAAGGATTAACTATTGAGGGGATGAATATCCTATTCTCCATGATATGCTTATTTAACATTGCATGCCCATATCTCAAAACATCTCGTGTACCCATACATAAAAATAAGTAAACATATATATATATATATGAAGTAAAAATAAGGGAAAAAATTGAAAGGAAAACACAGGACAATATTTTAAACACACACACATACATATGTATACATACTATGTGCCTACAAAAATTAGAAATAAAAAAATTAAATAAATAAATCACAGAAATTTCTGGAAGGGTAAACTACTTTAGAATAGCATAATTCCTAAAAGAAAATGTCTTAAAGAAGGAACCCTGCATCACGTTTTGTTTGTATTACTGGTTATACTACTTAGATTGGGTAGTCAGCACATTGCAGATTATTATTATATTTTTATTCTGAAAGTTATTCTTTGTTGTTAGAAAGTACCAAGGAAGGTAAGTTTTATACTGTGGTTCTCTATAAAAAAGGATATTGGGCCAGCATCAAATTTACAGCTGATAATGAGAACTTTTTAAAAGACATATGTCTATTTGATATGTAGGTAAACAATGTTTCCTTTTATACTTATGAACTTTTATATTATAGATAGTAAGGGAGTTTAAATTATTAGACATTGAAGATGGCATTTCAAAAAATCTGTTGTTGCTGGAAGTGTGTGTGCTAATAAGCAGGTCTGAGGTAAAGGATCACACTATTATAGTGCTACTGTGAACAAGAATTATTAGTAAAGAAATAGTGGTGGAGAAACATAGCCACCATTAGGGTCTGGAGCCAGATGGCATGTTTCAGTGACAGAGTAGGTGGAGGGAAAGTGGTCAAACCAAAAATTACTACACCTTACACACTATCCATCAATCTTTCATAAAGGTACAATGAAATGTCTCCCACCTAGGAAAGCCAAGAAATTTATATAATACATATATTATATAAATACATGTATATTCCTCCATACTATAATAGACATGTCATATTTAGGTTAAGCTTATTAAGAGAATAAATCTTGCCAAAAGATGAAGAGATAAATCTGTGATTTTCACATGTATTAATTTTTCTCATGCATACAACTATTGCCTGTGAGTAGGTGATTTCAAGCTGATGTCCATGGAACTGCAAGGCTTCTAGGGGAAATGGCTCAGTATCTTCCTGAGCTTATGGGTGAAGGCATATAGATATGTTTTCATGTTCTCTTTAATCAGACTGGCAGCTCTGCTTTGTTCTATTTGACACTTGTAACATCACCACATATAAAGTATTATGAAAACTACCAAGAAGCAAATAGTCTTTCTGCAAATACTTATAGCTATGGAAACCCTGAAAGAAGATACAATGTCACAATGTCCTATACTTCAAGGAAATTTTGGGGTCCTTGGGAAAGGGTGTCCTCAAACAGTGTCACTATATGTTGCCCAAGTGGAAATAACTTGGGCAACATAAAATTTGAGTTTCTGGTTTTAGAAAAATGGTGGCTCTTCTGAAAAATACAACTCTACTTCTTTGCATTTGAAAAATAACAATGAAATACACTTTCAGAAGAGTTTCTTATTGATGAGTAAAAGGGGGAAAAGGTGAAGGCATCATTGCCACAGTATTTTCTCTTTGATCTTTTGTATGGTAGAATTAATTCAAACTTTGAGATATAGTTTTAACAATTTCCCAACTTTCATTATTAACTGTTACTCCAACCCACAGTAACTGCACTAAGCAGGCAGATAATTTATTCCAGTAATAATCAACACTGGCTTGTAAGGATTCATTTGTAT